GACACATATTTTTAGTAAGTTTCACACATTCACTGCTAATGTCTGATGGAACTTAACGTTGCTTAGTTCGTTACAGCCCTTTTTAATATGATAATGGGTTTGTTTTTAAGACTGTATGAATTATATATATTTGACAAAGTAGAATTTAGGATGACATATCTTACTTTGTTCATAATCATAACTAATTCTTCATGATAGTATTATAAATAGAATCCTAACAGATGGAATATTGTTTTTAATTTAGAACATTACTCCTAATTAGCCAAAGATCAGAAGTCAAAAAACTTATTCAGAAAGTATTTAATAACATTGACAGAGTAGTATTACATAGTCAATAACACACTTTCTACAGCTTAATGCATTCAAGTTTTAAATGTCATAAATACTGATATAAATAATTCAATTTGATAACATTACATATTCTAAAATGTCTGATATGTTTGCATAGTCTAGTTATTTTTGTTAGTGTGTCATGGTATATCTCTTTTCATTCTTATATGTTGGGAGCCAGCCACAGAGGGCCACTGAGCATTAGGGATCAGGGAGGGCCGTGGACCCCGAGACCACCAGAATGCGTTTGGGAGCTGTTGACCCCTCCTACTTTTTCTATTTAGCACACTTAGCCAAAAGGAACTCTGCTGACCTAAGCTGAAGGCTCTGTGACTGTGACAGGCATGGCTCACTCTAGAAACTCACTGTTCCTGTTTCCCATGAACTGTGGTTTCGGCTTAGGTATTAGATATAATTCAAACTCAAGTCACATTTGGGAGCCTTCTATACAGTATAAGCTTCTTTATAAGATTTAAAAGTATATTTGTAGAATTAGTATATACATATGGAGAGCTGTTTTCAGCTTTAGATGGTATAGATGATTATCTAGAGTTACCAGAAATGGCCCAGCACGAACTTTGGGCTGGGCCACATTCCTAAGGGCCCAGCACATACTTTGGACTGGACTGCATTCTTTTAAACCAATTTTACCTACAGTTAGTATAGGGTTTTTCTACTTATTATAGAAATTGAATTTATTTTACTCATAGAAAGTATTGTAGAATAGGCCGTGCTGTCAGGGAATTATGTTAGTTCAAGCATGATCAAACATGATATTTTGAGGTTTAATAGGAATACAGTTAACTTCAGAAATTTCATTGTTCCCATTTTCTATTGCGGTTTTGGCTTTAGTACAATTTACAGTTTATATTTGGGTTTTATTTTTAGAAGCTTTATTGCTGATGAACAGTTTTATATATTAGGATTAGGAATTAGAAACTTTTATAAAAGTTAAGATAGATATATAGGATTTTAGAATAGTCATTTTGTTAAGAGATTGTAATCAATTGTTCCTAGAAATGGCCCAGAGTGATCTTTGGACTGGGCCACATTCTTTAGGAACTGGTTTGAGCTATAATTAAGAGTTTCTATAGTGTAGGTAGAATTAGCATAGAATAGAAAGGTATTAGGATTTGTTTTTTGTTTTGGGGGTTTTTTTTTTGAGTTGGAGTCTCACTCTGTCGCCCAGACTGGAGTGCAGTGGACTCTCCCAGCCACCGTAGCCTCGACCCGCTGTGCTCCGGCGATCCTTCTGCCTCAGCCTTCCAAGTAGCTGGAATTACAGGCATGCGCTACCACACCCGGCTGATTTTTTGATTTATTGTAGAGATGAGGTCTCGCTGCCCAGGCGGGTCTCGAACCTACGGGCTCAGGCAATCCACTCACCTCAGCCGCTCAAAGGCGTGGGATTACAGGCTGAGCTACCAAGCCCGGCTAGGTATTAGGATTTAAGTTAGTCATTAGGCATTGTGTATGCATAAGCTTTAAAAGTTATTGATTATTAGAATATTATGATGTTAGAATTGTTGCATTATTTTTGAGGAACATTAACCAGGCATTAGGAACAGTAGGATAACTTTGGGATTGCTCTTCTCATGCTTGAGGAAACATCTTGAGGGTAGAGGGGGGCGCCCCTCATCCACCTGGCTTTGTGTTCACGTGAAAGTCTTGTGATTTTTCCTGTGAAACTTTAGGATAAAAGGCTTACAGTTTGTCCCATTAAACAGCTTCTGCACTAGACAGAATCCAGTCTCTTTCTTTCTTTCTCCTATTATCTATCCCTTCCAGATTCGCCGACGCCGCCACACCTTTCAGGGACCCCCGATTCTCTGCAGGGGCTGGCCCCCTGCACTTATACTTTTAATCTTATATTTTAAATTGTATTTTAAACCCCAAATGAGAAAACTGTATTAAAAGAGGAGGGGAACAGAGTTTCCAAAAATATTACTGTCAAAAAAGGAAAAGAAAGACTACAGAAACATTTAAGTGCAAATGAAACAAAAAAGACTAATGCAACTGTCATGAAAGAAAAAAAAGGAAATGTTCAAGTTGTAAAAAAATAAACTAAAATGTAATACCTGATTCTAGACTGTTTTCTCTAATGGACGGGCAAAAAAAAAAAACTGCTATATAGAATATTACTGGGTCAGTTGACAAAACTAAAACATAACCAGTAAATTAGATAACTTACTGTTTTTCAGAGTGTGTACATGTATACACAGATAGAGAAGACAATTAATAAAGTGGCAAAATATTAAGAATAAATGAATGTGAATAAAGAGATACACAGGTGTTCTTTATACTACTCTCATTCTTACAGCCTTTCTAAAAGTTTTACATTATTTTAAAATGAAAAAGTAAGAAAATGCACCTCTTATAAACAGCATGACTGGGTCTTGTTTTTTTATTGTGTTTTTTTAATCCAATATGGTCTCTGTCTTTTTTTTTCCCCAGCACTTTCATATTGATTTCTAGCTTGCATTGTTTCTGATAAGTCACTGATAATTTTTATAACAGTTTGCCTATAAGTAATGTGTCTTTTTTCCTCTGGCTATTTTAAAGATTGTTTTTTCTCCTTTCGTTTTCATAATGATGTGCCTAGGTGTTGATTTTCCTGCTTGGGATTAGTTGACCTTTCTGCATCTATGGGTTTATATTTTTCGATAATTTAGAAATTTTCGGTCATTATCTCTTCTGATATTTTTCTGCTCCAATCTCTCTATCCTCTCTCCTTCTGCACCCGTAACCACACAATTGTTAGGACTGTACAATATTGTTCTAGAGGATATTATGGCTTTTTTCATGTTTCATAGAGAGGTCTTTGTTCTCTTTGTGCTTTGATTTGGATGGTTGAGATGGATCAATCTTCAACTTCACTGATCCTTTCTTCTACATGTAACCTCCTGCTAAATTCATCTGGTAAATTTTTCATTTTAGATATTAATTTCTATCAAGTTTTTAATCCTGATTATGAGTCACATTTTCCTGCTTTATCACATATAACAACTATATGATAGATACTGTGCATACTTTGTTATTGAGAATGTGGATTGCATTGTCATGTCTTAAAGAGTTTTGTTCTGTCAGGCAGTTAATTTGCAGGCGATCACCCAATGCCACAGAGTCTTGGTTTATGCTTTGTTATATAAGATCTGTAGGATTCATTCCTCAACTCCTAGAACCGCCCACTCCTAAGGTACAACCTTATGCAGAGGTCACGGCTGAAAGCACAGGATGTTCAGCAAGCTCTCTCCACACTGGCTGGTCCAGACTCTAACATTTCTGAACATTATACAGTGCTGAAACCTCCATTCAGCTCACAGTGGCACTCTAGCTGATTTCTGCTCAGCCCTACAGTAGGTACAGCTTCATATCTGACCCAAGGGCTGATAGTTTAGACACTGTCCAAAAGGAGTACTCAGAGGTGAATGTGGCACTCACCTCATGCATTCTCTTCCCTCTTCTGACTTTCAGACTGCCTGAGTCTACCCAGCTTTATAGCTGCTCACAGCAAAAGGTCGCTTCATCAGGACCAGAAGCAGAAGTCCCTAATTCTAATTATTTTTGAAACAGCTTAAAATCTATTATCTTATTTCATCCTTAAAACAAACATATGACATGAAAAGCACACATTATTTCCATAAGATGGATTAGCAAACCAAGATACAAAATGTTAAATAACCAGCCTCCAACCCATAAAGAAATATTATTCAATACACAAATATTCATCAAGCACCTACTATCACATATGGTAGTTGACAAGGCAGTAAAAAGAACTCAGGGAATGTAGTTGCAACCCACATTATTTCTGCTGAACCATCAGTAAAGCATATACACTGTACCAAAAGATGTCTAATGAATGAATACCCAAGAATCCATCAACCAATCTGGTATCATGTCTATAGTCTCAAAAATGACTTTAATTTACATTCATGATTTATATTTCCCTGCAAAGACTCCTATTTGCCATACAAGCAATTTCATTTCTACATAGGTACATTTCTCAATTCCCTACATATACTTAATTTTTTTCATATTAGCAGGTACTATCTAAGTCACTTTTATGTCACTATGTCAAACTTGCTTCAGCTAACTCTTAATTGTGTTTCTAATTTTCATCTGCCAAGTCAAATATATTTTGCTGGCACATAGAGAAAAAATATAATATAATTTATAAATATCATCTCAGCAGTATCATATCAAACAGTAATATCATTCTTCTAATCTTCAACAAATCTATCAAAGTGATACATTTATACCTTACAGATTTATTCTCATCTCTCAAAATAAGCTCTTCGTCTCTCATTCAACCAGTAAGTTAACTACAAGGAAGCAGTCGACAAAATTAATCTACATGTATGTTTATAGGATAATGCTTAAGAACATTTTAATATTTACTACCAATGATATAAAGTACATTACAACAGAAAGCCAGACATCATACATATTGAGAATCTGCTCCTGTTTTTAAAGTCTGCCAAAAACAAGTTTGTTAAAAGGTTTTTTGAAGATGATAGTAATGCCATCAACAGTATCACTTTTAAATGGAATCACTTATTTCTCACCCTGTTAATGGCCCTTAAGGTAATATTTAAGGAGGCTAATTTTTGTTACTGTTGCTCTAAATCATTACTCTGTATCAAGACAACACCTTTGTAAAAGGCCCTCACCTGCAGAACATCTTGGATCTTCACCCACACATCTGCCATATCATACAATTTGATGTCTTCCTGCTGAGTCAGTGGGGTCACAACAGTGTCCTGTAGATACCCCAGAACCACAGAGTGTGCAGTGGCTACAGCATTGAACTTGTCAAACAGCAACTCCAACAGTTCCAGAAGTAATCTAGTGACATAAACAAATAAATTAATTAATTAACATTAACATTTACACACACATACATACAGATAAATGATTTTCACTGGCCTGCCAAGAGAATATCAAACTACGGCAAAGTAGCATACTACACAATGTAAGCAGCACAAATACTAGATTTCTAGCAGATCTGAACTTAGACAATTGTGTGGTCTAAGCAACTTTTTAAAACTTATCTAAGCCTCAGTTTCCTCTGTTGTAAAATGGAAATGATGTAAGAATTTAAAATCAATTGCAAAGTCTTTAAACCAGCGACCACAGCTCAATAAACATTCGTTTCCTTTTTAACATATTTCAGTGATTACACGACTATTACTCTGTATTCATATGGGCAGCTTCTCCAAGGAATTCAGACAAAGTTTTTCAGATAACGGTTCAGACGTTACACAGAATATGCTATTCCCCAGCAATACATTGGGCCCTTTGGTCAGGGATAATAATCCTTTTAATCATGGAAAGCTCTGCTTCCTACCATTCAAATGGATAGCCTCAGTTGCCTGGAAAAAAAGCACACACACACCTGCCAAGCAATCTGACTTTCACCACAGGGAGCAGCATAGGCATCCACATAACTCATTTATCATAGTGAGATATGCTGGACACATATTATTACATCAATTTTATATACTCAAGGACAAAAATGAGGTTCAAGTCCACTGGGCCTAAAACAAAAGTTGATCTCCATGGCAGTGCATTTAGCTACCTACCTCTCACTCCAGTTCTAGAACGTGGGTGTATATTAAGAGTTAGCTTAATACAGCTCTGGTTTTATGTCATATGTGCAAAGTAATTCCTCTCCTGCTGAGTCACACAGCTTCCCTGGCCAACCAGGCCTGGAATTCTCCTCTCCCCTCCTAATTGTGTGTAGTGCTTGGTCCTGCTTTAAGGAATTCTTCACTTGTGGCTCACATATGTGGCTCAATGCATTTGGGTCACATTTATTTATACATGGACATTTCACCTTTCTTCTCCACGATGAATCTTTCAGGGCAAGCACACCTTATACATCTCTCCAAACTTAGGGGCACTTAGAACAATGGTCAGCAAGTGTTTGCTGAGTGAGTTGAATGTGTATAACATGAGCCAATACAGAATATCTTGGCGTGTGAGCTGCACTGTCTATTATATGGCTCTCAGTTCACACAGTTCCTGCATAGACTGATAAGCCAACTTGGAAAGTGGGGAAAGAAAGCAAAAGAGCTTGTCAGCAGTGTCAAGTAATAAAATTTTATTACCATAAATAAGACATTATAACCATAATCTCATCAAAATGTACAGCATATTATCTATTCCTATGGCTTCTTTACTGTCCAATTATTGTAATTAATGGGCCAATGTGACAGCTCATAACTACCTCGTGATAAAACCCTAATATCTATTTGACATTGTAATTTAGATGAGACAGAATCAATAGAATTTATGTAGTACTCGCAGTCTAGAATACACATAATCCAGAAATTACACATTGTATTTTTAAGTAGAAGCCATTCTACCTTTTGACTGATAGTTCCTTTTAGTCTTTTAAAGGTCAATTAGGTCAATTCATATTTATACTCACATATGCCTAGATAATCATTCTTTCTCAACTGTGCTATTGGAGAACTACTCAAACATCAGCAGAGCGAGGTACAAACTATGAAAAGATGTGTCTAAACATAACAGTTTAAATGGTTAAATCAGTGTAAGAAAATAATTGGTATAAAACTGGTGTCTGGCATCATACAAATCAGTAATTTAATCAGTGAAAACCTGAATAAGTGAAAGGTCTACTTTTCCAATAAATATTAATACCAAGTATGTAAGACTGTGGTTCTTAAATATGAATTTGTCAACAAAATATATTTTTCAATGGTGGGTAACAAAATGAGAAGAATGAAAACAGTATGTTGACTTTCTACAAGGTGAATTTATATGATTTCACATTTTTTGTATTCCTTGGTAGAAAAACCTCCATTATTTTCTGTCATAATGGCTGCTATGTTGCCAAATATCCTTACCGGACAAAATTATAACTTAACTATAAGTTAATAGCCCAGCATTATTTTTTGAAATCATACTGAGCTATGATATTCAGAAGCCTGAGGCACATTGATACCCAATGGCCCAATGGCATGAAGTTCTAGCAACAAAGTTTTAATGGAAGAGAATGGGTCAGTGAGCTCCGTGACTGCGTACTGTCGGTGACCAGCACTGACCAAGGGTGTGTTAGGACCCGCACCAGAGAATCTGGACAGCGAGAAGACCACTCGGAGGCAGTTCTTCTGGGAACAGTCTGATCAGGACTGGAGCCGATTTTATTCAAACATTTTCCAACTTATATACCATTTTCTATACCCTCCAGCAATGTGATAATCACTCACTGGGGGCGTACAAGTTTCATGCTTTACAAACTATGCATCACAAGACCACCACGAGATCTGCAATTTCCAAGCAAACAATTCGAATTCCATGATGCCTGCCGTGCTTACATTAAGGTCACAGGTGCACAATTTCAATACAAATCGTTCAAAGTGTTTTCCATAATGTTCAATGAATCATTCATATTATACTCTTGCTCTATACCCTGATTAATACAAAAAACTTTCCTGAGTTAACTCTAGGTTCAATCCAAGTTCACTGATTCCCAATATTTTTAACAATTAATATTATCAACTTAACATTATACTATAATCTATAAGTTTAGTTAAATGACGTAACTGTCAGTTATACTATTATCCTATTACGATTTAACGTAATGCCTTATAACTCAGTTAAAACTTATTCTTAAACTACCAAACTTTACTATAATTCATATGTTTCATATGTCTAAACTTTAATTTTCATATGATCTAGTTATTGGACTTTAATACTATGCTATATCCTATTAAGCTAATACCTTATCGTTAATTCTTTTATAAATCATATAGTAACTATTACACTTGAATAATGTAGCAAAAGGAAACAAAACAGCAAGCATAGATTTACGTAGCTATGAGTGTATATGTATATATTTTATCCCAACAAGTCTACTCTAAAAATCAAATAGTAGCTGTCACACTCTTGAACAAGGAAATGCAGGTTTGCCAAGATGGCGGCCATGGGCTGAAGCAGACAGAGTTTCGGTAATTAACGAAACAAAAGAAAACGTTCTACCTGGCTAGGGGCAGGGCAACAAAACTATCATGGTAATTTAGTTTCTAATCTTAGCCCTAGGGGAAACAGCTTTCGGGAACAAGAGCTGACTACCCAGTCTACCAGGAAATAGAAGTTAAAAAATATCTAGAAAGAAGTAAAACTTAGAAAGACAGAGAGAAATAATTCTGCTATGCACTTTCCATCAGGTGTATTGAGATTTACTTATAAGTTTTACTGCCATGTATGCACACTGGTCACTAATCACACGCCAATATTATAGGTATAACTGATATCCTATGTCAGAGGCGATCTTCCAGATGGGCCTTTACAGGCCTCAGCCATGTAGCTATAGATGTTGGCTCCCAACAGCGTACCTCCAGTCAAGGCCCTCGTGTTAGGGGTGCTGTTACCTGGTTACCTCCAAGGCCAGCGAGCTCCATGACTGAGCACCTTGTCTGTCAGTTAAAGCTCCTGTGTTAGAGGTGCTGTTATCAGTTACCTCCTGGGACAAAGCGTTCCATGACTGCACACCTTGTCTGTCAGTCAAAGCCTTTATGTTAGGGGTGCCACTATCTGGTTCCTCCAGGGCCAGGGAACTCCATGACTGCACACCTTGTCTGTTAGTCAAGACCCTTGTGTTAGGGGTACTGTTATCTGGTTATCTCCAGGGCCAATATGCTCCATGACTGCACACCTTGTCTGTCAGTCAAGGACAAGTGCTGCTCAGCAACCAGGACCACACACCAGGTATAAAAGAAACTCAGTGGAGGAATAAGGTATAAGAGGAGACTCACAGTATCTATTAACACCATGGAAATGGGAATTCCTTGATAAATGTTGACACGGTCCAAGTTTCTGCCAAATCTGTAGGCTCAAGGCCAAGACACACTTGTTCATACAGTGTGGCCATCATAGCCCCAAGACAGGCCTGTTCCAGCAGTGTGACCATCAAAGCTCCAAGGTAGGTCTGTTCCTACAGTGTAGCCATCACAGTCCCAAGACAGGCTGTTCCTACAATGTAGCCATCATAGCCTCAAGACAGACCTATTCCCACAGTGTGACCATCATACCCCAAGGCAGGTCTGTTCCCACAGTATGGCCATAATAGCTTCAAGGCAGGCCTGTTCGCACAGTATGGCCATCATAGCCTCAAGGCAGGTCTGTTCCCACAGTGTGAACATCATAGCCCAAGACAGGACTATTCCTACAGTGTGGTCATTGTATTCCCAAGACAGGCCTGTTCCTACAGTGTGTGACCATCACAGCTCCAAGGACTGTTCCTACAGTATGGCCATCACAGCCTCAAGACAGGCCTGTTCCTACAACATGACCACCATAACCCCAAGACAGGCCTGTTCCTACACTGTAGCCATCATAGCCCCAAGACAGGTCTGGTCCCACAGTGTGGCCATCATAGCCTCAAGACACACCTGTTCTTACAGTGTGGCCATGATAGCCCCAAGACAGGCCTGTTCCTACGGTACAGCTATCATAGCCTCAAAACAGGCCTATTCCTACAGTGTGGCCATCATAGCCTCAAGATAAGCCTGTTCCTACAGTGTGGCCATCATAGCCTCAAGACAGACCTGTCCTCACAGTGTGGCCATCATAGACTTAAGACATGCCTATTCTTACAGAGTGGCCATGACAGCCTTAAGACAGGCCCGTCCCCACAGTGTGGCCATCATAGCCTCAAGATAGGTTCCACAGGGAAGGAAAAAAGGTATAACAGCAGTTAGGGAGAGGCAGGCCAGAAGTGTAGAGACTGTACTTATATCTCTACCTACTTTGAGATCTCCACCCATTTCAAAGAGAGGGAAGTTCTCCTCTGCTTTACCAAAGCAGAATCATGCCAA